TGTGAATCTTCTATTTGTAACTCATTAACTAATGTTGCAAAAGCTCCCAAATCTCGCCTTCTTTCAATCCATTTTCTAACCCAGACACTCCTATTCCTTTTTTTCTGTCTTTCTCTAAACCAATAATCTACTAAAACAACGGCAGCAGCAGTTTTTACGCGTCTGCTTCGTCGCATGTTCGAACAGCTACTGACCACGGTCTACTTGCGCGAGTTGGAATTGCACTGAATGCTGTCACATGTAAACGGATTTATAGCAAATGTCGCAAAAACTGTCGCAACAAACACTGACACTGGCTCGCGCGAGAGCTCGCACGATAACTCGCAGCCAACTGTCAGCAAAACTTGCATCTGTGTGTTTAAACTATGCAACACCATTTGCGCAACAAATGTCGCAACTTTTCTCGCAGGTGTAAACGAACCTTAACAATTTGCCGCTAAAAAATGTTTACTGGGTCAGGCAAAATCAAACCTATATCCATCTCAATATAAATCTCGAAGAAGTTTACCCTTATGTAAGGATGACTTTGTGCATAAGTTTATGTTTCTTACAAATAGTATTCTACAATTTGAAAACGAAAAATACGTGAAGGTGACTTTTTTTCATTGTTCAGAGGTAATGAATTTATCGGTGGTCTATAAAAAAGATTATCAGTAAAGCTTATGCTGGTGAGACATTTCAATATTGAAATTCTTGTACAACCGTTTGTATTCCAGGATGTAATATCGAAACCATAGAGTACATGAACACCAGTCTCAACCTTTTTGATGTTAGTAGTCAAGAGAAAATTAGACCTTTATGGAGATATTATTTCGCTAACACACAGGTGAGTTGATGCCTNACAGCGCCTATATCAAGTTGAAATAATTTATACGTACCTAGATATTCTATTTAAAAAAAGTAAAATTATCTTTATAAATCAACAATTAAGGCAAAATATAAATTATACTTCAATACCACCTCCACAAGCCACATAAACAACAGTTGTTTTGTTATTTATATAGAGGAAGATAGGTTAGGTGCACAAAATGTCATATGTCACCGAATGTCTCGGAACATAAGTAAACAGAATACCACGCCTCTGAAATATGTCATCTTCGTTTGTCTCATACAGGTAACAGATTCATTGTCCTTTATTAGCTATCACCGATGTTGCCAAATGGTGAAATAGAAACGAATCCCTCTAAATGTTGAATGCATTATTTCATTCCTCTTTTTTAAGTATTTCAATAATTTTTTGAAGAAGGTTGAAATGATGAGTTTAAAATGCGTTGTTTTAGAGCTCTTTTATGAAAACTACTTGATTTTCGTCGAATCTAGTTTAAATTGTAGACTTCTTTCAAATTTATATATTTTGTGAAAATGACCATTACAAAAATATTTTTTACTTTTAAGACTCACAAGGCACACATCAATTACTGAAAATATAACGACTGTTTAGCTCCGATCTGTGGCATAATGCCTTGATGTCTCTTTCTTTCTCTCTCTATGTTATTAGATTGGCTTTTGCTTCCATTCAGCCTTAGATTAGGTAAAAGAGGTATATCTTTCCTTGTCTAAGCATTCAGCCGTATTAAGCTCTGCCTTGATGTCAATAAAAAGTTATCTGTTCTGTCATTTGTCATAAGTTGGAATGGAATGACATTTGACTTTATCCTTTATTGAATTCCCGCGTTAATTTTTATTAAATGACCGAATCACATACCAAATAATGATATTTAATAAACCTATTGGGCAATAAATATTAAAAGTAACGGAGTAGGATATAGAAGTGCTGTTTGTTTTATTAATATGCGATAGTCCAATCTTGCAAACATGAACGCAAAAGAAAGGCAAAAAATGTACAAAGAAACACAATCCTCAATAACAAAAATGTTGGAGAAAGGTAAAATTGTGGATAGGAAATTAATAGAAAATCAACTCACACTAATAAATAAGGATGTCCGATCGAATGATGAGTCTCTTAAAAATAGTGCATTGGCTATGATGGAATTCTTGGTGAATATCAATTGTGAACATATTCAGACTGAAATCATAAAAGAATTGAACGACAATGCAGATAATAAGTTTATTCAATCCCTTTTTATGAAGTCCATCAGGCACAAGATATCTGAGAATATTGGCAAATGCCAGGATTTTTGTGAAATTATCCAGCCTTGGCAGGACCAAGATCCTACAATGGTAAGTCTGCTTCTGGTTTGTAACACTATATTTATATACATTTTTCTAGCTGATCAATATTTTGCAAGAAGTATGCTTGAATATTGTACCTAGGGAAAAATGTAAATCCTTTTTTATGAACCAAGTAATACCACCACTGATGTCAACCAATACTAATGAAAATGTAAGGAACATCCTTTCCGAAATGGCCTTTATGCTATCTAGTGTAATTCCTATAGCAGATTTAACTTCTGAAGAACTTGCACTCTTTCTTGAAGAAGTCAGTAACAAGTAAGCAAATCAACAGTGTTTCAATATTTGATAGAATTTAAAGTTCCTTTTATTAATTATGGAAGGTGTTGGGTATTCTGACAAGAAGGCAAATTATAGCATTTATTTGGATTACTTGCCAGTATTTAACCCTTTCAGACCTGATTTTTATTTTTTTATAAAAAAAAATATTTGTTGTTGCTGAGTGTTTTCTATCCTATCAAAGAATCGTACTGTCAAAAAAAATTTAATTTTTTTATCAATAAAAATATTATGGTATGTACATTATACAGTCCATTGGGACTCAAAAGTTGCCGTT